TTATGTGATAGACCTGGTGATAGACCTGCATTTAAGATGAGTATTTATCATAAATTAAAGGTATCTTATATTATTAGATGTGTTATTATAAAATATGTTTTAGTTAAGGAATTATTAATATTTCAAGTGCAAAATGATAATATAAAACCTTGGTAAAAATGGACTTTTAAGTATTAATCATTACCTAAACACAGATCAAATCATGGTTTTTGAGTGTAAATCGAAGCAAATAGATGCTTGATCCTTGATCTATGCATAATTATGAATAAAATCTTGCCATTTATTGCATAAAAACTTGTTTGGTTTGTGATATACGTTTGCTGAGTTTTGGTTTTAATGTTCACCATGTCCTTCATATTTCATATTATTGGTGTTTGATTTGTTTTTATAAATAAGATTTTTTGTTTTTTTGTTTTTTTTAGTTTTGATCTATTTTTGTTTAATTTTTTACTTTGCTTTATTTTTGGGTCAAACCATGGTCTTTTGTTTGGTTCAGCGTTGAGCTAGTGTTTTCAAGCCAACTTGATTAATTTTGGTTTGGTTACTTTTTTTTGTTGAGGAATTTTTGGCCTAAGGAGTTGTTTGATAAACATGCCTTTATGCTTATTTTGATTGTTTGTTTTAAATAAAAATGTTTTTTTTTATCAAACAAACTCCAAATAAATTTCTAAAAATTCTAAAATAATTTTTAGGACCAATTTAAAATTATTTGTGGGTTATTCGCATATTTTTTAACAAATTTATTTAATATCTAGATTGTAGATGACACGTATGGTTGAACTATATGGTTGAACTATAAAAGTGTCAAGTATTTGTTGTGCCAAGTATTTGTTGTACCAAGTGTTATATAACATAAATCTAGATTAATCATTTCACAAGCAAAGTATTAAGAGTGAATAAGATAATAAATACAAAACATGTTAGTATCACACATTAAAATCCATGTTGAGTTTACACTATACTTATTATTACACCATTAGTGTAACCTTTTCACCTTGACATAATAAACTTAACTACATATAATAAAAGATAGAAACATAAATAAATAAGATAAGAACATAAATAAGATAAAAGTTAACTAAGTAAAAAAAATAAAATGAAAGGCATAAACTTGATATTAATGAAAGCAAAGCATAAACATTACAAAAAATAAAAAGAGAGAAAGCAAGAGCATGATCTTGAT